CGTAAAATTCAAGCCACTTATATATATATATATATATATATATATATATATATATATATATATATATGAGTCCAGACTGTGCGCCAAACCAGCAGCAGTACAATAAATTCCACAAGAAGCAAAAGTCCCATGAGTAGCTTGTCAGCGCGATACTCCCAGATTTCCTAGGCCCCTTTCTTCATGCTGTGTTGAGACAGCTTAGGCAGAAAATCCACTAGAGTTGTAAAGACCAACCAGTTTCGAAAATTAAACACTCGCGCAGTTTTGGACTAATGCCCTCCCTCCGTTTGACCGCCACCTCGCCTTGTAACGGATGTATCTATTGTTTAGATTACCTTTGATCATCGCCCCCAGACCATTGCATATTCACTAATTAGCAAACCACTTGACCTCAACCCACTTCCATGGACAGAGTGATGTCTGTTCACCCACAACTGTTAGCACCTGTGACTTTATTCGTATTTAGCTTCTTATGATATGATATAACCCGTGACCCCCCTCCATTATCGAGCATTCGAGCATTATTCCCGCTGCATTCATCCACTCTCCACCGCCTTGAGGACACATTTGGTCTTCACAGCATGATGCATTTGTTGACATATTAGTACGAGCAAATCTCTTCCCTGTCGGCTCTTGTGACTCGTTTCCTCCTTTTCCTATACAAATGAACATTACTCATTCCGCATCAGATGTATTGCTAATTGTACCACACCGATTTCTCCGCTGGTCTGTGGAATCGCATTTTATCAACATCCCTTAGCACTGTTTGCCCTTGTTTACCCATATCTATTTCCGAATACCCATCCGTATTACCAGCATATCCCCGTGAATGAATGGCTCTGATTGGTCGGTTTGCCCGCTTTAAATACTCCGTTTCCCCTGGTATTCATTATTCATGATGGCCTGACGTTGCCTAGCGACTGGCCTAACTCGGTATCTCGTGTCATTTCGATTTACCCGTCCTGGTTTATGAGCCGGATTGCTCATAACCTAAGGTATATTATACATATTACCTGTTTATCCGTATCTAGTACACGTAGATTACCGAACTGGTGTTCTATTTACCTGGATTTGGGGGTTCGTGTTCTGCGCGTCATTCTATCACTGGACTTCGATCCGGTACAAGTGCATCTGATCGTTTCATGTGTGTCTCAACGATATCTAGTATACCCTTCCGTGTCTAGAAAGGCCAGACCAGGTCTCTTCTCCCCTACTCATAACTTTCCACCACGTGACATTCTTCTGGTCGCTAAAATGAAGCTGGCAATGACCGATAAAAAACTATCGGGCATCATTGAGTAATTCTTCTGTCCGATACCTTGACACGATAAGGTAGAGCATATTAAGGACTAAACGAGTAAACTAAAACCTATTTCTTCCTCGGGCTAATGCAGTTATATATAGGGTTCAAAATTATCATATTAGTGTGATGGTCAGATGTGATGAATATGATTGGTTGACTGATCTTGTGATGTGTGGTTTGGAAATATGAGGGCAGTGTTGTTGTTGTTGTTATTGTTGTGTGGTTCGGAAATGTTCACAGTCGGTGGATAGAGTGAGCTGTTCCATTCCCGGTCTGCCCCATGGGTCATGACAAAGGTCACGGTGGCTTCGGTCGGCTGTCAGGTTGAGGCCAGGGTAAACGAAGTGACTGAACGAATCGTTTTTGAGAACAAAGGGACGGATTGAGTAGGTGAATAGCCACCGCTTCGGCTGTAGCAAGGTGTCTTTGACGAACAGGTTTTGATGGGTTTGCTAGTACTTTGTATATCACCTTGAAAGCGCCGTCGTTTGCCTGATGCCCCGTGTCTGCAAGGTGTTCTACCACCGAACTTGTAATCGTTTCCTTATGTCCGTACTCAGCCAGGCCGGTTTGTCCTCCTTGATTCTTTGAGGCAGTTGCCTGATCGTTCTTCCTACATAACTTGCCGAACATGAGCAAAGAAAGTGGTAAATGATCATAGATGAGGAGAGGATAGGCAATGGATCTTTAAGATTTACGGAAACCAGTCGCCGGTTTGTGAATTGATTGCGTAGGATTGCAGCAGGGAAAGTGCGAGCGATAGCCTTTTCTAATCAGCGTCTCAGTTACTCAGACTTGTAATCTCCTTTAAAAGGCAGTTTTATGACGAGTTCTTTTCTTATCATTGTTGTCAGTGGTGCTCTCGGCGGCCGTTCTGTAAAATTCTTCACAACGAATCGTTCCGGATAGCCGTTGTCAAACAGTGTTTGCTTTACACTTTCCAGCTCCTGAGGCAAACAGTCTGCTAAGCATATTCTCCTTGCTCGATACGCAAGGGTTTGGACTAGGTTTCGCTTGAGCTTCAGAGGCACAAAGCTGGCAAAGTAAAGTTTTACCCAGTCCAAGTTGATTTGCGGTAAACCAATTATATTCATCACATTTGACCATCACACTAATATGATAATTTTGAACCCTATATATAACTGTATTAGTCCGAGGAGGAAGTAATCGAAAACAAGCTTTGTTCGCTACAGTGTACATATATACGTGGGTGTATGGAGGCATGTAGTGACCATGATTGTACGAAGAAAAGGAGCAATCCACGAGGACGTTTTCCATTCATATTTCCTTCACAATCAACTCTGACTTCAACTGTGATATTTCCTTGTTTTACTTCTGTTTGTTTTACGAAGCACGGTTATCCGCTCAGGTGTATCAATATAAGCTGGGTCTTGTCCAAACCCAGGCAACACGTGTAACACGCTTTCGCTTTGCTACTGCATTTATTGCTTGCATTGTTTAGCGTCACTCTGGCACATTTCGGTACTATCTAGTACCACGATTCGCCAATAAACGTTTACGACTCCCACGAGTGTTTTGGTCTACCTCGGGCAACGAGACACTAGGAGGTCGCGCGCATTTTGAGACTCGTAAGAATACTTACCGGCAGGCCGTCAACTCCGGTTAGCTTCAGGCACACACTGAGTTGCAAAATGTTCATTGCAAGGTGTGAATCCGAACTGGTCATTGTCGTCAAACGCAATCTAAATCGGTGAGCTACCGTACATGGTCTTGCACCGTGCGCTATCAGTTGTTCTGTCTGTAGCATCACCAATGTGACAGTATTTTACCCTGAAACCATAACATTTCAAACAACCACGCGTTCAGAATTTGATTTGAACTGACTATCCTTCGAACTTACACTTCATGCACAATTCTCGGTTCATCCAGTCAACCGTACACTCCGAAGACTTAGACTCGAATTTCGCTTCTTTTTAATCCCTGCTCGCGAAAATATTCATTTGTCAACAAATCAAACAGAATACATTTACTCTATCCCAAAAGACTTTCACACATTCAAACATTATGCAGAACGGTGCCATTTTCACATTCATGGCAACCAACTGGTCAGATGGTGAAGATATGGAAAATATGCGCATTCTATTTTTCGCTTTTTCTCCAAGTCTAAATGGAATTTCGAACGGGTTACAGAATATTGCTAGATTATCTGAATCCGCATGCAACTGGATTCAGACCACACTTTGAGTCTTTAGTGTGTGCAAAACACTTCATTCAAAACGGAAGAAAACACGTTCCATTCATTAATGTTTTCTCCTTCAGTATGATGATTCGGCTTCATTAGACTCCACATCGAGATGCACGTGATTAAAGTGGTCTTGTGCGTCTACCACTTGTGTTGTGGTGAGGATGGAAGTTAGCTCGTGGAGACCATAATCGATAAATAGTACGAAAATGGGGTATGAACAAATTTCAAATGGTCTGTCAACTATAGGTATATTCTGACTCTCGGATAAGAGCTTGTTAAACTACCCGGAAAATCTGTGGCCGGAAAACGCGAAAAAATGACTTGTGATTGAATGAATTGCGTGTATGTTGGATCTTTGGTTGCATCCCCATACTCACGTTCCAATATATCGA